AGCAAGGATATTTCAGAAAAGTCAAGTTCAATTCAAATAAATGTGATTTATTTCTTGGTAAAGACGGCTCATAATGATTTCTCAAGTTTGCAAAATTAGGTAATTAGGAAAACCTTACTCAACGTGCTAGGAAAAAAAATGTAACATGATCAAAGACAGTCAAATTGGAAAGTTTAAAAATCCTGAATTCTCTCTCTGTATTTGTATCTCTTTCCATTCTGTGCTTTATACACAATCTAGCTTACTGTTCTACCTGTTTAAATTTCCCAACTTTTCTTTACTTGCTCCCATTTTCTATGCTAGGATTACTTTATATTTATTTTTGGACATGACTTCTATGCATTATTTCATGAATCATTTTCATTTTCTGTTCTTTTTCCCCTACTTGTTTTTCTGCTTTCTAAGCCTTTAGTAGTCCACAGTCTTGTTCACTGAAGGGCTGTAGACATGGAGGCAGCTGCAGGGAGTCACACAAGCTTTTCAGTTGGCTTCTGCACCTGGCTCCATGTGTGGAGTTCTTCCCTTGACCACTGCTCCGTAGCACTTCGCTTTCTAAAGCCTTGTCAAGGTGCTTTCCGTTTTTTTCAGTGCACTATTGATGTATTGGTTAGACATGGCAGAAGTCCCGGGAGATGTGGTGAATGCTCACATAAGCCATCACAAGAGAAAAAACTGATTAACCACAGCCAGAGGATGAAAAAGTAGTCTTAAAAAAAAAACGTATTTCCAAGCGTATTTAGTTAGTCATTGGACTTAAAGATTTTCTTCTATTTTAGGAAAAGTAATCAACATTCTAGTATCCTTTTGAACATTATTAACATTACTGAGGTATATTTACAGAGATCTGATTAGTACTGAGACATATTTTTCCTATCTATTAAATTCCCATGCTATGAAGAATAATAGAAGGAGTTGTGAGTTTATTTTAGCACCTTGCTCTTTTAAAGACATGATGAAGGGAAAAATCTAAGGAGACTGAGTCACATACGGCAACTTAATTGAAAATTGCCAGCTTTTTCTTGTCAGTGTTTTCATTAAAGATGTTTATACATGGCAAAAATGTGGATATATATACTTAAAAAGTAAGTAACTGGAATTATCAGTATTTTCCAGCTAGTAGGTAAGGGTCTCACTAGGTATCCGAAGCCACTGCGCTGCTTCAGTCTTTTCAAGAGAATTCTTGGTAAAAAATAAAACCCAAATATCTTTCCTCAAATTCCAACAAGATTTTAGATACTGGCAAAGATGCTTTTGACTTATAAATTAAGTGAATTCATACCAGTTGTTTAGAAAAGCTTATTCAGGTTTCTGGTGAATCCATCAACTAAAATGTGATACTGTAGAGAGGCTTGTAATTGGGGAAATGTGTAAGAGAAAATAGTGAAAGAAAATGGAGAAAACAATAAGCATTTTGAGACGGTAAGACAAGATAGAATCTTGTGATGAATTTTTGATTATTCACAAGTGAATTATATTAATAAATATCTGATGCAAATGCATTCTCAAAATTATATCAATTTTATAGTTATAATTAATATCTTTGAAGTACTTTTAGATACTTTGAAGTATTGTTGGAACTTTCCTCAAAAATGAAACATTGTGTTCTTTAAAATTGATTCATTATAATTTACTGAAAGCTTATTGCAATATACAATTTTGTATTACTACTTCCATCAAAAGGAACAGAAATTAGAAGCAATTCTAATTTTCTTAATCATAACTTGTTCTCAGTGAAACTATCTACTACCACAGACTGTAAAGTAAAAGTTTAAAATTCTATATCTTAAAATGTATCTAAATATATCTTTGTAAAACATGCAGTCTATCACATCAGCTGTCATGAATTGCAGAACAGATTATTCCTGAGAACTGGAAGGAAACAAATAACAAAAAAGTGATTGCAAGTAAAATTATATATTAATACATATTTTAGGTATTATAAATACTTCAAACATAATATTTGGGCTCTGATTTTCATGTTTGTACACATAAAATGAATTCAATAATAAGAGAATATGAAAGAGAAAAACATCAAGTAAAATTTATTAAATCTTCACCCTCCGATAAGAACTACTACAAGTTAGACAGCAGTGTGTATGCCATGCATCATGCAACACACAGGAGAATACAACATTTATGTGTATGATGGAATCATTTCTTCACAACTTAAATTTGCTTTTATACATTTGGTAAAGTTTCACAGTTAATGAGACTGATGATAAATGATAAAAGAGTATTGGTAGTCATTCAACAGCTCCCTGAGGTGAGGACCCTTAATAAGAAAAGTTATTTCATTCTCAAATTATATATCTAAATGACAAATGAAAACTGCATTTCAGTTTATTTTTATGTTCTTCCTTTGAATTTTACTGGTAGTTCTGAGGTTTTCATTTTCATCTCTGCATCTGATTTTTCATCATAAGAAACAGATTCACTTGTTTCATTGGTGAAACTGGTGAACTATTCAGGCAAAATTTGAGAGACTTCAGCCTTCATTCCAGTTATGTAAAACCGTGTAAACGTGTAAAAAAAAAAAAAAAAAAAAAAAACTAAGGAAATTCCACTCTAAACGCTTATAATTTTATATTTAAAATAACATATTTTCTCTTTTCACAAGTGACATTGCTTTGTATCCAAGCTTTTAGTATTCCTTACTTCTTTGTTATGAATGTACTATGTGTACTTTTCTGAACTTTCTGAATTCGTGCAAAACTTATTAGATAATCTAAGCAATTTTAAACCAATCTCTACTAATTAAGAGAGAAAATATACTCATTTTCAAGAGAAAAAGTGCATAATTATCCATACTAAAAGTACCTTCTGCTAACATCAAGAAGATCTTAATGCTTACATATTCAGGTATTAGCAAAATTATGAACACTCTGAATTACACGAATACTTCTGCATCAAAAAAGAACATACAAAAGTCTGTGTATTGTCTTAATCTAATTGCTATACATCAATGATGTGAAAAAATATTTATTAATTGTGAAGTTTTCCATGAATGCTTATCTTTTCAGGGTCTAATGGAACAATTCTATATTAATACTTGAACTACTTCAAATTTAATATATTACATTTTTAGTATAAATTATACATAATATTTCTTCTTTAAATATGACTTCTATGAGACACAAAAGCTTTCTCCCACCACCCTGTCAATTAGAATTTCAAGAATAACGCCTCAAAATGATCTAAGCCTCCTGTTTTAGCTCATCACTTATTTACTGTGTGAACTTGGACCAGGGGTGTTCTCCATCTCATTCTCCTTTTGCCATGCATATCTTCTTGCAGAAATATGATGAAACACTGAGCATCTCCAGAGTCCAGTGAAACATGTCCATTTTTTCCATGCTGTACCCACTCATTCTGTAATCAATCCCAGTTTCAGCGTGCATTTCTAAGCCCTCAATAGTTCATCAGTCAGCAATGATCAGCAGTTCATTTTTAGGCTTGTGCATGATAACTATCAATGATATGTTATAATCGAAGACAAACTTGGGATTACACATAGATTCATTTAAAATAAAAATGTCATTATTTATTGAGATCAATAGATGGCAATAATAGACATTATGTAGGTAATGGTTCTTAATGTTGTAGAGAAAATAGAAGTTTCATAATTTTTAAATACTTATTAGTTTAAGATAAACATTACAATACAGTGAAATCTGATATAAATTGATAAATAACAAGGTATCATTAGCTTAAACAGGAAAACTTCCTCAAGAGCTCAAAGCATTCAGATTTTGAAAATGAAAACTCAAGTGTGCTCAGTAAATACATAGTCTATGCTGGTTCTTAAAATCCCAGCTTTTCCTATCTTGGCATACATTTGAAAGTTCATTGCTAGAAATTAATCAACTTTAGTTACTTGAAAATTAATTGTAAAGGTATTTGCCACCAAGCTTTATAACCAGAATTCCATCCTCAGTACCCACACAGTGGAAGCAGAAAACCAACTTGTGCAAGTTGTGTTCTGACCTCCACCCAGGAATGTGTGCACAGGTGTGCACATGCACACGCACACACATGCACACACACACATAAATGAATGTAATTAAAATATTAGTACAATTTATCAAAATCCAAAACATATTCAATAAATATGCTAACATGTTTAGATATGTATTGAAATGACATTTTTATTTATATACTTTAATGAAGATCAGATTAGGCATAGTGTCACTTGATTTTTGTTCAATGGGAGACTGAGGAAGGAGAATTAAAAGTTCTAAGCTAGCCTGAGCTACTCAGGCCAGCATGCTTACTATGGGAAGATGTTATCTCAAAAAAACAAAACAAAACTACAAATCAGCTGGATGTGATGCACATGTCTTTAATCCCAGAACTCAGGAAGCAGAAACAGAAGAATCTTAGCGAGATCAAGGAGGCTAGGCTTGTCTGCATAATGAGTTCCAGACAAGCTGGGGCTACAGGAAGACCCTGTCTCAAATAAACAAACAAGGAAAAAAGTACAAATGAAGAAAATTAAAATAAAATACTATTCTATAGTACTCAAAAATTACTGGGCTGGAAAAATAGCTCCATCAGTAAAGTGCTTGCTTTGCAATCCTGAGGACTAGAGTTTGATCCCCAGAAGCCAAGTAAAAGATTTGGGTGTGATGGCATGTACCTATAGCCCCTGTGTTGGGGAGTTGGAAGCAGTCAGAACTGTGGGGTATATACCTTCACACATATGTGCATACACACATGATCACAGACAGGTTTATGCAATATGCCCACAATTTTTTAAAGATTTGTTTATTTTATACATATGCATGTTTTGTCTGCATGGATGTTAAGTGCATACATGTCATGTAATGCCCACAGAAGAGGGCGTCGGATCCCCTGGAACTGGAGTTACAGATGGTTTTTAGCTGCTATGTGTGAGCTGGGAACTGAATATTGGTCCTCTGAAAGAACAGTTCCTAACTGTTCCATCCCTCAAGCTCACACACAAATTTTTATATGTGATTCAGAAATTGGATGAACTTTGTTCATGATCAGGTAACATTTAATGGTCTTGCAAATATAATGAAGTTGATAACATTTGTCATTCTCATTTGAAATATTGCCATTGCCATTATACAGTTAGCAACTCTCCTTGATCATTAGGACAAGTATTTGCAGTACAGTGGAGCACTGAGTTTTCTTTCAATAGTATTTATAGCAGATTCCCAGGGCATCTGGTTACCCTGGATTCACTCATCACCATCCTTTGTGCTAGTTTGTCTAAGGTTTGTAGGAATATGGACTGCCAGACTGTCAGTGACAAATGCCTTAGGAAGTCATTTCCCAGGAAACTAAGAAGCATACTTTTAGCGGTTAGTGAAATGTTGCTTTATCCCTACTATTAATTGGTTTGTCAATTTGTGAACCAAATTTCTGTTTAATTTTTCCCTCTGTTTCATGTCTAGATTCAGAAATCTGAATGCTGTCAGTGCTTGGTCTATTCTTTCTGTATTTGTAAAAATAAGAACGTTTGCTGATGCATCAGATTAGGGATGATGGACTAAGAAGCCATTTTACTTGGGATTTTTCTCTATTATCAACTCCATGCATGATTTTTAAAATACTGTTTTTATACTCAACACTTTCAAGTCTTCACTTCCAATATGCCTTTTCCATCAGAATCCTGAGTCTAGAAACATCTATTTCTGATACTTCATTGAAAAACTCTTTATATTTGCAGATCAGATTAATTTTTTAAATGATGAGGGAAACAAAAAGACACAACGAGACTTTTTGGTTCCGATCAGTTTAAGATGCCTTCACCCATCACTCTTTCTGGTTCCTGGAAACATCCTCCACTGTAGAGCTGGCTCTGTGATTACATGTGGAGTCTCTTGTTTTTTTCCTTTTTCTTTCTTCTATTTCTTCTTCTTTTCTTTTCTTTTCTTTTTTTTTTTCCTTACAGGTATGGATCTCTTCTCCAACTGTACAGAGGAATGTAAAGCGCTGGGCCACTCAGATCGCTGCTGGATGCCTTCTTTTGTCCCTTCGGATGGACGCCAAGCTGCAGATTACCGCAGCAACCTGCATGTCCCAGGCATGGACTCGGTTCCTGACACCGAGGTGTTTGAACCTCCGGAAGCCCAGCCTGGGGCAGAGCGATCTTTCTCCACCTTTGGCAAAGAGAAGGCCCTGCATGGCACCCTGGAGAGGAAGGAGCTGGATGGACTGCTGTCTAATACACGAGCGCCTTACAAACCACCATATTTGAGTAAGTATTATACAAAAGCCTGCATCAAAGTATTTCCTTTGAGGAAATAAAACTCAACATTCTTATTGGTGAAAAGAAAAGTTAAGTTCGTTTTGGAAACTTGGGTAAAAATGACTTCTAGATGCAGACAGCACTCCAGTATGGAAAAGCAAAACAGGAAATGGATTTCTATGCTAGGACTTCTGTGTTACCAACTAACCACTGTTCACTTTTATGGAAAGGATTTTCAAATGCTGTCTATAATTACCTATTATGGCACACTTGCTTATTTGATTTCTGTGTGCTTTGAAGGGTTAATCTATGGTGGAGGAACTTGCCTCCATCAGTGAGAGTCTTTTGAGAGAGTGTGAGAGAGCCTGGGGATTAAAGTGCATGGCCTTGTGCATGCCAGGGAAGCAGGTTATGTGGGCTGTATCCCCTGGCCTAGTTTGATTTTTCTTAAAGATTCTGACCGATTTCACCAGCAAATCATGGTTTTATTCTAGTGATATTAAACACATTAGACCAAAACCAGAAAGTAGTGTAGGCCTCATGTTGAGCATGCAATACAGGTTAGTGATTTGCTGGTAGAGACTCAATCTCTGATGAGAGCCAGAGGTACTGGTAATGAAGGCATCTCAGTAGAGAATTGTTCCCTGAGTATTTAAAATAGACTCCTGTGTTGAGACTTGAGACACTGATCATGGCCCTCTGCTCTTTCAATGCTGTGACCATATTTTCTAAATGCATTATCTCATGCAGCCATTAAGTTAAATAAAACTGCTTGAAGATTCTATGACAGATTTCTTTTGAAGATCTTGGGAACGAAATTATCCCATATATTCTTTCCTCCACAGAATCATTTCTTTCTGTTAATGGATTATTATTACTGATAATTTGATCTTGGTTAAGCCACATTAAATAATAATTGAAAGAGGCAAAAGTCAGATTAACAATCAAAATGTAAATTCTACCTGTATTAAGAAATCAATTCTGCATTATATATTCTTTCACCTTCTAGTACCAAGTAAACAAGATTCGTGGAAGCGTAAACAAGAAACAATAAATGAGGTGATAGATTGGGATAGATGGTAGATGCAGCTTTTTTTTTCTGTAGTTTGTGAAGTAGTAAAAATTTCATTTGAAAAGAAAATTAAAGGAAAGAAAAATAAAATAAATGGAATATGTAGTTTGGCCCTTAGGGATATGAAATGTGAAAGACAATGAAGCCACTAAAGCTGTGGCTTCTAGTGTGGTCAATGACAATGTGAACAGGCAAATGCTTGAAAGAACTGTCTTCAAATGCACCAATTTCAATGGCAACGGTGACCATGCAGTGTTTTATCTAGGACTGCATATTCTCACGTTATTTGGAAGCACCATTGACTCCATGGGATATAGTGTTTTAGCACTTCAACATTGATAAATTATTTCTTCTTATAAATCCTTTGTATCTGATTAGGTTTCATTTTAGTTATAATGTGCAAAATGAATAAATATATAAATTACTGAGAGACCTAGCATATGATTTGGGTGCCGAAGAGCTAAAGTTAAATGTATTCACACGTGTTAGTGAATTTAAAGAGGGCAAAAATCAAATTTTTTTAAAGGAGGACTATAATGAGTTCTTCCAAAATTGAATTTGAAACTTCAGTTATTTTTAAGTATAAAATATTTTCAGCACATTTCAGAACTGTTTCACATAAGTTTAAGGATCTATCTTGTAGAAATTCATTATTAGTAATCTCAAGAAGAAAAATAAAAATAGTTACGATCCAAAGGAATCAAAATCTGTACTTTTAAATTAATAATTTTTTTCAATACTAGTAGTCAGCTCAACATACTCCACAGATAGCTGAAATGCAGTGTGTCCCCTTTGCTGCTAACAAGCATAATTTTGGTAAACTACACTTATACGCAAAACTGGAATTAAATATCTAGAAATGCCTTTTCTCCATTTCTAACTTGTTCTTTAATTAGAGTTCAAGCAATAATATTTATTAATAAAACAGTAATGTCCCCATTTTAGCAAAAATTTATGTGTTTCAGAAGAATCTATTATTTTCATAAAGAAGCCTGGTTTCAGGGATATTAATTTTTTTTCAGCATGTGTGCTAAGAACAATAAAAAAATCTGTTATAATACCAGGTAAATTATAGTTGTTTGCTTATTGATGAGACATATGTTAGAGCTCTTAGTTTTTAATCATAGTAGATATTTTTCATTCATCCCTTTTAGCCAGTTAACTGTTTTAAACATCGGGGTTTGGTTTGGAGTGTGACCCCAGTGGAGAAGAAGTGGAAAAAAAAAATGTACTTTTATTACGGTTAGTCCTTCCTGAAATTTTAATCATTTCTAAATTTCCCTGATTTTAAAATAAACTTTCAGTGATTTATGTCACCTTATACTCAAGCAATTATCCTTAAAATTAAATCTTGATCCTGACTTAATAAGCATAGTCTAATTTATTGTTAATTGAATAGTACAAACTATATACCAAGCTGTTCATAACCATCTTCCTTCACACGGTAAAAGTTTAGTACTGTGTCATTTATCTTTAGGAATGGAAATATTCTCATCTTCTAAATTAAAAACCTCATCCCTCATGTGATTAAAGAAGCTAAAAATTGACACTAATTACTTGCTTTTAATCAGAATGTTTAAATAATTATTGAGGTTGCTGTTTTACTTTTGCTAAATGCACATTTAGTTTTATAATGAACATAATGTACATTTGATGTTTAGAAAAATAGCTTTATATTTAGTAATTTTTGAAAGTTTCCACAAATGCCAAATGAGACAATAACTGTCATTTATATAATAAGAAAAAGTTGACATAGATAAAAATATAAATTAGAACATTGTCTATGCCATTAATTTATGAATTCTATGTCTCTGATTTTTTTTTTTGAAACTAAATCACCTTCTGGGAAACACAAGGTGCTTGCACATAATAAAACAAACTTCTTGATAAAAAGAATATTTAGTACAATCATATCTTTGTTAATGCATAGCAATGAATCCATGAAGTTCAGTGTGACCTGTTTACTGAAATGAAACTTTAAAAATGGAGTCCCCTCAGTTAAGAACATTGTGTGATATTTTCCTATTTTTGTTACAACATTATAGTTTTTTACCAGCAGTGAAATTGTACATTGGGTAGACAAATATCTTACCTAGATTTTTTTGAACATTCTCATTTCAGTTTAGCTTTACCTTTGCTTTTATTAGAGTGATAAAAATCCTAAAACAAAATTTTAACTAAAATTAATTTTTCCTTTCTATAGAGATTAGAAAAACTGCATTTTTATGAAGATTCATGGGATATATTTTTAAAGTATAGATGTTTTATTTAAAGTAATCTTGTCCTTTAAATGACACAATTTCATGAAGCAATCTGGCTTATCTCAACAAATGAGAAACATTCAACCCTGGGGCCTTGGAGATGCTCAGTAGATGAAGTGCTTGCTGTGTATGCATAGGGAGCTGAATTCAGATACCCAGAACCCAGATAAAAAGCTTGGATAGAAATGCATACCTATAATGCCAGAGCTAGGGAGGTGGAGAAGGGCAGATCCCTTTGACTTGCAGGTCTGATATCCTAGCCAAATTCTTGAACTCGGATTCAGGGAGGACCTCTCCTCAAGAAACAATTTGGTGAAGCTGCAGAGGAAAATACCTGATGTTAACCTTTGGACACACACACACACACACACACACACACACACACACACACACACTCCACTGATAAAATAATAAAACTCCACTGATAAAATATTCTTGGAAATTTCTTGAACTTGTGGAGTTTTCTGGAATGGTCAGTTTAGAGATATCCACATGTTGAAATATGTCATAGTACATTCTGCCTTCACATTATACACCTTCTAGACAAATGCTTCATACCAAAATCTCACTCTGCCTTACTTCATTTTTACCAGCTTTTTGAAAAGTTTCATAGTTCACCCTTACCATATCAAAAAGACATCAAAAATTTAAAACATTGTGTCTGCAACATTGCTGGCAGTTTACTTAGATCTGTTTTTAGAAAACAAAAGTTTTGAAAAAGTTTTTTAGGCACCTGTCTATATCATGTCTGTGAGCATGTCAATTCTTCAGCTGATAGGAATTGTGGAAACATTTTGTTTGATAATGTCTCTCCCAATGTCTTTATCTCCGTGTGCCTTCTGTGAGTTTCATAATTTGCTGAACGCAATAGCATGGTGGGAGAACATATAGAATTCAAAGAAAAGTGACTTTTCTTGATACTCATTACTCCTGCTCATTTACACCCCCTGTGTGGTGTTATTGTGGAATGTGTCTGTTCCTTTAATGTCATAAATACAGCATTATATTCAGGTGAATCTATGATGTAAGTACTTTTATTTAATATCTTTTTTAAAGAAAATCACTTGTATGATTTTTTCTCCTTTCTTTAAGATACTTATTTATGTTCCTTTTTCTTCCAAGTTTTGTTACCAATTATGCATATATTTCTGAGAGTTTTTCTGTTGCTCTCTTCTTCTCCTCATACACCCAGATCCAGGAACCCAATTTACTTGATATTTTTCTTTATCCCTTTGTGACAAACCTCTGTTCTTAGACTCCTACTAGCTGTGCTGTTTTTCCATTAACTTCCTTTGTTCAAGGATTATGAAGAAATTTCTTGTAAACAAAATAGTTTACTCACTTCAGCAGGAAAGAAATGATAACTCAAGATCAGTAGAAAAGTTCAGCTCTATCTATATTCTGTGTCTACTGTTAGAATTTAATGTTCACTGAATTGTATTATATTCCACTTATGTGGAAAACACTTATCTATTCACAGCTCCTATCATTATTGTACTTAGCTGAAGACAGTATTTGCCTGGAGCTTCCCTATAACTCTAAGAACATGAGATAATACGACATTGTGTATTTCTTCTTTAGTTCTTGGTACTAATGTATCTCAACTAGTAGGATTTAAAGTGAAAGTTATACAAACTCTCTGGAGAGACAACTGTGGAACACGTTGATTCATTTCG